CCCTTCGCCCCCCGCCCCCCCCCGCCCCCCCCCCGCCACGCGCAGCGCCTCACGGCCGTTGTAGTCCCACCGTTTCTGGGCCGGCCGCCATCTTCGTCCCCTGCCCCACCCCCGTCCCCGCCGTGGCCACCGGGCCGGGGCGACCCCCGAGGGCGAAAGAACCGATGGCCCAAGCGCTGTCTAGCGGAGACAGCCCAGCCAAGGGCCCGGGGAGGGCTGAGGGGGCCGGGGTCCCCCCTGGTGCCAGCCAGAGTGGGTGGCTGCACCTGCGCCAGGCCTTAATGGCAGCCTTTTCCTCACAGCTGACAGCCCCGGCCCTAACAAGACCCTGCTGCCTGGCTCCCGCCTCGGCCCCGTTAATTAGCACTGACAAACGAGCACCAGGGACGTGCTGGGGGACACTCACCCCCGCACCCTGTCCCCAGGGCCACCCATGCGTCCCCAGTGGCATCCTCTGACCCCGCCGCAGCCACTCAGGAGGCGGCCAGTGGCCCCAGGCGCCTGCTGTCACCTCTAATTGGGCCACGTCCTGCTGGTGCCGAGGCAGCGGTGGCGGGCGGACGTGCCAGAGGGTCCCCATGGCTCTGCATGGCCTTACTGTGTCTCCCCCCCATGCAGTGAGGACGCCACGTCCCTGAAGGGACACCCCGCCGTGGGGACACCTGGGCTCTGGGGACAGAGACACGGCGGTGGTGGCACCCCCAGTGTCCCCGCTGGAGGTGGCAGAGGGGACAGCAGTGCTCGGGGACAGGTGAGCCCCTCCTGGAACCCCCAGCTGGGCCGATTCGGGAAGCCAAGTGGGGTGGGTTGGCAGGGGGGTGGCAGGAGGACCCCGTCCCCAGAGTGGGGGACACCGGCTCTGCCCCCCGTGGGGACACAAACAGCAGACGGGGAGAGGTCACAGCTCTGCTTTACCATGGAATCGCCCCGGGGTCGGGCAGCAAGGGCAGTTCCCCCCTCCCCACACAGCCCCCCAGCACGGGGCCGGCCGGGGACGAGGCGGGGGGCACCCATATTGACATCTGCGCATCCTGTACATATATACACGCCGGCGGGGACCCCCGGCATCCCCCCGCCTGGGGGGAGGCAGCGGGGAGCAGGACGCCGTGGGGCCAAGCGGGGCACGCAGCC